AGGTTTCAAGCCGGTATAAGATTCTCGTACTACTTTCAAACAAAATCTGACAAATAAATGCCCAACTCATAGTGCAAAAGCATATTGAGTTCCAGTTCTATTCCATAGGTTTGGACTCTTCTAAAATACTTTCACTTGGGCGAAAAAAAGTAACTGAACAAATATTTTGTCTCAAAGCTTTCGATCCACACGCTATCTGTTCGAGAAATAGAGCCATGTGTTTGAAAGTTGAATAATGTTGGTATTTCTTCGTTTGATATAGATGATATCGTTGATTATACTCGGCAAGGACTCGAAGCCATTGTGGATGATGAATTCACCAAACGGTTTAGCCCAGCCAAAGAAATGGCCGTTTGGAATCTGTTGACACGTACACAACAACAAGATGAACTAGTTTGTTGGCGTGTGATCTTGCTATGGATTTTTGGCTTCATATTTCGATATGGTATTCTCTTTCCATTTCGTCTTTGCCTCTTCTGTTTGGCCATTTGTTCGACACTTGTTCTAAAACATTTCCCATCATTCCACGCCAAACTCCATTACGACCTCTATCTCAACAGGGCCACACATCGGATTTGGTTGTCTTTCATATCTACTATCGTTACTTTTCATAATGTTGAACATCGAGCAACTCGTGGCTCGATTTGTGTCGCTAATCATACGTCTATGATCGACGCCTTGATACTCGCTACGAACAACACCTTCTTCGTGGTCGGACAGAAATCAGGCGGATTCGAGGGTTTCCTTCGACGAATACTTTATTATACGGCCGATCACATCTGGTTCGAACGTTTCGAAACGAGAGATCGTCATAGGGTGGTGGAAGAAATGAATAAACACATTCGCGATAAGCGAAATCTACCGATATTGATCTTTCCAGAAGGCATTTGCACAAACAATACATCGGTGATGATGTTCAGAAAAGCTTGTTTCGAAATATCCGAAGTACCTATCTATCCAGTGGCTATCAAATATGATACTCGTTTCAGTGATGTATTTCGGAATTCGTCAAAACACAATTTTTTTGAACATATGCTACTTATGATGACCTCGTGGGCAATTGTCGTCGATGTTTACTATTTAGCGCCGATGCATATTGGAAAAAACGAATCGTCTATCGATTTTGCTCGCCGAGTCAAAGCAGCAATCGCCAATAGAGGCGGTCTTGTCAATTTAGAATGGGACGGACGTTTAAAATGGGGCTTGCAAAAACACAAGTTTCGAGCCGAAGGACAGCGAAAATTCATCGAAATGCTCAAAGCCAAATAAAATCAAAATATTTCTTCAGTATTCAGTTGAGTATTTCTATGCGAACTAGGACTCCAGTTGTTACTCATATGTGAGTGTGGGTGTGGATGTTGGTGGGGGTGTGAGTAGGCATGCACCAAACCCAAACCGTTTGGGTGTAGTGAGTTTGAGTATTTAGTGTGAGTTTCTATTTCACTTTTGCTACATCAACTCACTCCGCTACTGGTCTTAAAATATAATGCCATTTATGTCAAATATCTTCTCTATATTTAGCTATTTGTTTCATATAGATATGAGCAAAAGCATATTTCTATGCTTCACGTTGTTAAACGATGAAATAAAGTCATTCTCAATTCCGAGAAGATACCTTGGCAAGTGGATATTTTTGATTGGTTTGCCCACAACCTGCTTGATGCAGGAGATACCGCATCTACTTTGGATATCGTGTCTCATAGAGAGATGCCCAATCTCTTGGGGAGATGCACTTAGAGAAGCAGCGTCTCTACAGAAGACTCGCATCTCCATACTTCTCCACAGAAGGATGCGGCATCTTCCAGCATCTCTCGAAAAATTTTGTTTCAATTTTAACTAAGGACCCAAGTGGAAGATACTGCATCTCCAAACACATCTTCCCAGAAGACTCGATATCTCTAAGCATGTCTACAGCGATGACAAGGGAGGAAACACGAGCACTCACAGACCCACAGCCAAATCTTACGAGTGTGGGTGAGGGTGGAAACGCAAACACACACGGAAGCACATACAGCTACATCTCTTTGGTCTGGGTGTGGGAGAAAAGATGAACCTGTGTGAGATCATTTATAATGTAATCATCTATTAGTAGATGCTTTTGCATCTCCCGCATCTTCTTACACTTCTTCAGTATCCTTGATTGTCTGGATATGTGACGCCCCTCTGACTACGTGACTGGCATACGCAAAAGCCCTTGTGACTACTATCTGGTTAGTCAACTTGCGCGGCGAGTTTAAGTGATTAAGCGGAAGGAACTTTGAGACAGGCCGGCTTTTTCTCCGGAGTTATAGCTAGTAATAGTTGTATCAAAAACGTCGGAGCTTCGAAACTATCTTCATATAGTATCCTATATTGCAAAGCAACTGAGAGGCAGGTTATTCTTCATCATCTTCTTCTTCTAGTGTAGTTTGAGACGATGGTTTAAATCATAGTTATATTGTTCTAAAAATACTTTACTGGGGTAATGCCCGAGAAGAAATGAAATTTCGTGTTATAGCTGCATTTTCTTCATATGTAGTCATAAGGATTTTTCTGTTCATGGTCATTCAAACACATTTGAGTTTTCCCTCTCTTCTGCTATTGTTAGTCGTGCACCATAGATGTTTTCTTTCCTGTCGGAGTGGGGTGTGGGTGTGGGTATGGGTGTGAATGAGATTAGGAATCTTCTCCTCAATAGCCACCCACACCCATCCCCACCCACACCCATCCCCAACCACACCCATCCCCAACCACACGTCTACCCACACACCACACACCCACACTCTTTGTTTATTTTTCGCATAATCAACAATGCATTGATATATTATCCGTTGAATATAATCCACAAATATATTTTTCTTTTCATGTACCAAATAAATCGTATTCATGTGTCTTGTACATAGCTTCTTCCTTTTTTCCCCAATTTTCTTGATATGTTGCTAAATATCGTGCACATTTAGATGTTGATTCAGTTCTTATACCTTTTTCTACAGGTATTGAAATAACGTTATTTCGATCTGTCAAATTTCTTGAAGACGGGACTGATTATGGTGATGAATTATCATCAATTGTTCCGATTTCAATCTCGTTAGTGTTTTCTTCAAGCAACACACATTCTTCAAATAAAATTGGTAGATCATTCCAAGTCATTTGGTCGTTACTGTTATTTGAGTTTTCTTTTGATTGATCAAATGATGAATTGTTTGACTGAATTAAAATTTTTTCTATAGATGTTGTTTGAGAGTGTTTGAATGAGTATTCTTTATTCATTATCTGAAATAAGAATAAGAAAAGACTATTTTCTTGAATCAAATAACATAATAAATAAGAGTATTCTTTGTAAAGATGCAACAACCAATGTAAATTAAAATATAAAAACAAAGTGAAAAATGTAATAGTAGAGTGTAGCATTTTCATTCTATTTTTTCGAGTGGGGTGCAAAATAGCTTGCAAATCAAAATAAGTGCGTGACGCATTCGCTTCGATTCTGATTGGTGCAATCATCATTTGAAACACTAATGTCAAACGAAGGATGTAGATAGAAGGATGGGATTGGATGTATACAAGAAAAGAAAGAATACTCACAATGATATCCGCTCTTCTTTCATCCGAAGAGTGTTAGTATGGGTATTATTAGTCCTTTCATCTTTATCTCACTTCAATGGCTACACAACCCTACAATAAATATATTTTTTTATTTAATAGCTACCATTGTATTCACAATACGAATAAAAACTAATGCAAATTTGTTTAAATAAAGATTATCGTCATCTCAGAAATAGAAAAGAATACTAATACCCGCGTATAATCTTATAAATGGTTCACAATGAAAGATATATACTTCAAGAGGATATTTGTTTCCATTTATTGTATGTTCAGAACGATGAAGCACAATATAACCTCAATGAAAATAAGATTGAAGCAATTAGAAAAACTTCTTGTTGATCACTTCGAATGTCTATTGAAGATTGATCTTCATCGTTGGAAATTTTGAATTTTGAAAGAGATGATATTATGCATCATATCCTTTTCATTAATTATCTCAATATTTTATTGATATTTTTGTATGTTGAGTATTGACAGAATAGAACAGTGAAATTAGTAAACTTTAAATAGAAATATTGAAGACATCATTTTAATACTTGTTAGTAATAATAATAATAATATAAAGTAAACTCAATCTTTTATTTTTTTTCTTCCTTCAAAAAAAAGACGCAAAAAATATTATATACCAAGCCAAAAACGTTATTAGTTTGTTATCGCTAATCCTCTGTCAATACCTACGTAAAATACTGTGTAAAAACAGGTAAAGTTCGATGAAAACGGAATCATTTTTATTTTGTTAATTTTCATTGATTTCTTTTTTTTATTTTGTAAAGTTTTAAGAACTTCATCATGAATTATTATCATTTTGTTTTATCAATTAATATGGAATAAAACTTTTCATAAAGTTTTGAGATCAAACAATATTATCTGAATTTAAAACAAAATAACAAATAGTTTACGAGTACGTATTAAGTATTTTCTTACAAGGTTAGATTGGAGAATATGCATGACTTTCTTATTATTCTTAGAATATGAAATATCTGTGAAGATTATAGTTATTTGATAGTCTTTACTACTTACTCATCAATCTATCTTCGTTTTCAATTCTTTATGTTAGAAAAATCTTCATGTAATCATCAAGATAGCAAAATAAAAAAGAACTAAATTAGTATTTTAATCGCCTACTATCATTCTCATAAAAAATATTATTCTATTTAATCAATAATAAAAGATTATAATATTGTTCTATTTTTCTTTGAATATATAAAATTGAGGATATAGGCGCGATTGTTATTAGTGGAGTGAACATCATCGAAATTGGGTAGTAGAAATCACACATTCACATTCTTATCCGAAATAAAAACAAACACTTGTTGTGCATTTTAAAAATGTAAATCATCCAGTTCAATTAGAAGAAAAAACAGTCAAAGGTAAACTAGAATGTTTCAACATTGAAGATGCTTTCGGTGACCATCTCAGTGATTCTTTTTATGCTTACTATATCCAGAGTTACCAATATGACGATGTCGACTTCTGGAACCACTGCTAGAGTGATAACGATTTCTTGAGCCACTTCTACGATGATGACGTTCTTTTGACTCATTATTGGAACAATGACAATCTCTCGAACCATTTCGACGACCATGACATTCTCTAGATGTGCTACTGGAAGAATCGTGATCTTTCGGACCACTTTGATGGCAATGTCTCGAGCCACTACAATAGCAATGATGACATCTGGAATTACATTCATATTGATGCCGATGACAAGAACCATTACGACCAAGGTCTTTTTTAGAATCCTCATCACTGTCACTTGAAGAAGAACTACTGCTTCCACTGCTGGAGCTGGAACTGGATGAATCACTAGAATCTTTCTTTTTTTTTCGACGTTCTCGTTCACGTTGATTATGATTGTTCCCCTTTTTTTGACGTCTAAGTAGCTCATTTGTTAATGCAATGCCTAATTTAGATATATTTTCGAGGATAGATCCATTATCATGATTAGGTCGTTTGTTCGAATCAAGTGACATTGAATTTCTTACCGATGATAGTAACAATAAATCTGAAATATATCGTTTTGATTCTTAAGCCGTATAACTAATTACGATTGATGAAGGCTATCAAATAATCAGATGATGATCGAAAACAATATCGATCAGCACAGTTTTACAATATTGTGTTGGTCGATTACGAATAGATGTACATAGATACAAACTGCAGAAACTTTTTTATCGATTAGTTTATATAATGCATCGTTTATACGATATGAATCACATGTTGTCAACGATAATCATTCATAAGATGATCCTACACAAATATCACGTCCTTAAGATAAGAAAAGTAATACGCATGCAGTGAATCATCAGTGGAACATTGCTAAGTAAAAGAACAGTATAAAGAAAATGTGGATGTTTTGAGGTAAAAAGAGTTCTCGCCTACATTGAGTTGCTTGTGTAAATATCAATAGAATTAGTAATGTAGCTGTATTTTTGACACAGTAGTATACCCATGACATAAATTTCTGCGAAAAACCGCATTATTGCTGACCGGTTTGACGTGTTTCACATCTGCTTAAACAAACGTTGTAGAACGATTGTTGCTCTAACAAAATTCCATAGCGTTTTTCACACTGTGGTATCATATATTCTAGATGAACAAAAAATGAAAATCGTCAATCATTTCATCTATCTTGAGTTGCAGATACGATTCATCTACTCATTTAAATTTTCTTCATAGGTTTTTAGAGCAATAATTTACATAAATTTTAATCAAGTCAAGAGATAGGTTCAAACACGAGAATGTAAGAGTAGAAGAAATGTACAGCGCATGTCCCCAATAAGAACAGCTTTTCAAACAGTCTCAGAGTTTTCTTGTTTTCTAAAGCATCTATAAATAAACATAAGGCTTTTTTTATATTTTTGAGTAGAGAAATGTCTACTGAATCGAATTATGTAAAAATCATTCAATTATCTTGAAACATAGCTGAGCAATTAGCGGTAGTTTGCGAGTGATCGATTTTGTCCGAATTAAGAGCACTGTGCCTAATAAGAACAACAAGGCAAAAAATGTTCCTAATTCGAACACTCCATGTAAAATACATGGAAGAAAAGAAAATTTTAGTAAATGAGATTTTTCGCTGTCTCAACTTCAATTTTTTTTATGGTTTCAGCACAAAAAATGTTCCTCATCAATTGAGGAATAAATATCCCAAGGTTCAAAATTTTTCGTTTTATAATAACTGAGATATTAAATTTTTAAAAATAGCTCACCTGTCCTTTTTAGGAACACTGTTCTTAATTCGAACAGTCTATGTAAATCACATAGGAAAAAAAATATTCTTAGTAAATGAATTTTTTTTTAGTCTAAACGTGAAAATTATAAATTGCTTCCGTGACAAAAAATGTTCTCTGATAAATTCTGCATTAAGCTCCAGCGGTTCGAGACAAATGAACTTTTTTTTTCATTTCTGTGATATCAATTGAAAATCATACAAATATCACTCAATTATAAGTATCATAACTCACTCGTAATTTTTAAAAAATTGAAAAATTATGATCCCCTTTTTAGGACTTATCCAC